GAGGTTCAAAGGGCAACTTTTAATATTTCACAAGGGGTGGGCTATAACTAAATTGGGTTATGTTTCTATTGGCTTATTCATGCTCTAAGACATGAAAGCACAACACACACAAAGCCCTCCAAGACCTGTGGGGCTAGGAAGCTTGTGGCACTTTTGATATTGCTGAAACAGCAATATCTTGCAGGCTAATTGTGAGGAATGCTAGGAGCTACGCTTCAGAAACATCCGGAGAGCCTCAAGTTACTACCTCCAATGAAAGGCTGGCTTTTCATAGGACTGTACAGTTCCTTATCTGTTGCTCTATCTACAGCCTTGTTGCAATCACGGCCACATTATGTAACTGCTGATTTTGCCTGGCTGAGTTAAAGAAACCTTCCCAAAATGTCTAGACAGATTCCCATCTTGATATATACTTTGATTGGACTCCGGCCAATCCTAACGGCAATAGGGAAAACTTGTAGATATAAGGTTAGCCTGCATAAGCTTCATCTTCTCTGAGTTAGCCTTCTCAAGCATAGATAAACAATATTCACAGTATATTTCTTGAGCTATGTCCCACATTTAGGGGGAAATAAATATGACATTCCTTGAAGCATAAAAAAATGGTTTTTTGTCCAATGCCTCTTAATACAAAATAGATGCAAAAGGGAAGGTTATTGAAAAGGATGTCAGGCTGCAGCCATCAAGAAATCTGAGGAAGCAGTTTATCTAGACCAGTTTCCGTCCCTGTCCTATTGTTTCTTTCTTTTTCTTATATGTATCCATTTCATGTATTCATAACCATGCTTATACCTGTTATCTTATAATCGCTTGACAAAATAAAATTAATAAAATTAATAAATAAAGTGTACTTGCTGATGATCTGTGCCAGAGCCAGGATGGGGGTGGTACATCCATCCTTATGCTCCTTTCTCTCTCCATCAACCATGGTGTCCTTCTGGCTAAGCTCCAGGGACCTTGAAATTGCTTTACTGCAGTTCTTTTCCTCTATTCACAGTCACTTCCAGTTAAAGGGATAGGGAGATGTTGCTCCTTAGATTTCTTCTTTTGGGGGTATTTCAGGACTTGACCCTCCCTCCTCATTCACCATCTACATGATATGGGGCGGGGGGAGAGATTTGGGGTTTGCTACATATTTTATTTTCCTGGGCTCCAAGATCACTGCAGATGGGAACTACAGCCAAGAAATTAAAAGACGCTTGCTCCTAGGGAGGAAAGCTATGGCAAATCTAGACCACCTACAAAAAAGCAGAGACATCACCCTGCTTACAAAAGCATGTATGGTTTTCCCAGTTGCAATATATGGCTGTGAAAGTTGGACCATAAGGAAGGCTGAGCACCAAAGAATTGAGGCCTTTGAACTATGGTGCTGGAGAAACCGGTCAGTCCTAGAGGAGATCAACCCTGACTGCTCTTTAGAAGGCCAGATCCTGAAGATGAAACTCAAATACTTTGGCCACCTAATGAGAAGGAAGGACTGGAGAAGAGCCTAATGCTGGGAACGACTGAGGGAAAAAGAAGAACGGGACGGCAGAGAATGAGATAGTTGGATGGAAGTCACTGAAGCAGTCGGTGTGAGCTTAAATGGACTCTGGGGGATGGTAGAGGACAGGAAGGCCTGGAGGAATGTTGTCCATGGGGTCACAATGGGTCGGATATGACTTCGCAACTAACAACAACAATAAGCAGTATGCTAAAGAGGCCCAATTATATGTTTCAACCCCAGGCCAGCCAAGTGAAGCTGAGAAAGCTCTGTCCCAATGCTTGGATATGGAAAAAATATACTCGGCTCAGTCAAGACCAAAGTAGTTGTTGCTAGTGTCATCTAGATCCAGGGAAACTCCATTTTAAACCTGGATAGGGTATCACTTATCTATTCAAGAGTGGTACACAGTCTGGAGGAGGATTATCTTCACAGACTTAAAGCTCATGCTTGAAAAGTCGGTGACAACTATGGGCAAAACAGCCTTTGCACACTTCCAGTTGTACTCTTTCCTGAATCAGTAGGCCCTTCAGACAGGGAGTAATTCTTCCTTCTCAATTACTTCAATGGGGCTGCTCTTGAAGATCCCTCAAAAGCTTCAACTGGTCCAGAATGCAAAAGCACAGACAATGAGGGGCATGCTTCAGTGTGCCCAAGTGATAATGTGGTCCATGAGTTGCATTGATTTCAAATTTGCTACCAGTTGTGATTTCAAGGAACTGGTTGTGACCTATAAAGCCCTGCATGACACAGGGGCCAATTATTTGAGGGACCATGTAACTGCAGTCAGTATGAACCAATAGGGTTGCACATTCCAAATGCTTTCAGTTAAATTAAGTTACCTTTCAGGAACCAGGAAGCAGGTCATGATATCTGCCTTCTGGAATTAGAGCTTTTCTGAGATCTTGATGATTTCTACCTGGATGGTGTTCTAGATGCTTAAAAACCTGACTGTTCTCCCAGACCCGGGCTAGGGTAGCTGGAGCCCTTTGTGGAGTGTATGTATATGTTTTCTGTGTTGTTGGCCAGCTTTGCTTTTTTTTTCCTCCAAATTTGGAGAGGCCATTGCCCACACTTGTACATTTTATTCTAAAAATAGCAGAGCAAAATAGTACAGGCTAGAAAATAATTTTCTGAAAACAAAGCATTATTCCTCTTCAGAATTCTAATAAATGCTAGACCAGTTCTAAAGAGGCTTATTTCTAAAGATCTATGGTCTAATGTATCTCAGCAGGTGGCAGTACCCGGTTAAACTCGTCTGGGCATGGAAGCTAAGCAAATTGGAGCCTGGCTAGTACTAGGATAAAACAGACTGTCAAAGTCTTCCAGATATATTGGCTAGATTTATAATTTTGAAAAACTTTCAAATGAAAGCAGTAGTGAATCACTTAGTTGGCTAGGAAACCACAGATGTGTCCATGAAATCATCAAAAGAAGCTTTATTTTACTTGTTTTTATCACCTTCTATGGTCCAAAAGTCTTCACTATAACTAAGCAGAATGAATGTTCAACATAATTGAGATACTGCATTATGCAAATGGAAAAACACAACAATAAACATGTCGCTCATCCTCACTATCACCTTCCAAAGACATCTGGTCTTGCATATATTGTAAGATGCCATATTTGTTGGACCCTATTAAGAATTGTGCATAGGTTTCTGGTCTAACTTTGACTTTCGTAACTTGTATCTTTGGAAGTCTCAGCTGATGTAGACAATCAACAAGCTACATACATTAATTCAATGCCTTTTTGTTTTTTACATACAGCCAAGGTGAAAGCAACTAAGATCTACAATTTGTGCAATATTGCAAAATGCCAGAATCCTGCATCATGTGTTCTACTTTTTATAATCATCCTTATGGCTGATTCATGCATGAATGTTTATAACTCATAGTTCATTATTCAATGACTCTTGGCATTATGTGCTTGTTTTGGAGGAAAACCAGATCATGATAGGAAGATTTAAAAAGCTGGCTCTGTGCTATATATTATATGACCATCTTGTATCTTCCTGGCAACCAAATAAGGAACATTGAATTGCAGAATTTAACCCCTAATTGTCAAAAGCAACGAGCAAGAATTCCTTACTCTCAAACATATCTCGGCTTTACTTGCAGGCTGACTATATTAAGGAAAAGTGATTCACTTGTCAATTTCTGACATTGTTTTCCAAAGGCAAACCTTTCCAAATTCTTGACAATATTAAAAATGAAACCAAAGAAAACCGAAGCTAAAAAGCCACTTGCAGTTGTTTTTCTGACCCCAGCTCTCAAAGGGTTAATAACAATTTGTTCAGTAAGCTAGAGTGCATTCAGAGCTAGGCTGTCACCATTATCCTGGAGATCCAAAATTCTTTACAGATGCCCAAAAGATATTCAGATGTTTATGGGTTAGTTAGTGCCCAATTCTTTACAATTAGCTGGCAGGGCTCAGCAGCTGAATACCCAGGTACTTGCAGTAAGAAAGTGATCTACCACAACAGTTCATATTACTTGGAAGATGCAGATTATTTGAAATATATTTTGGAGGACAGCTAGCAGAATTGCCAACAGCCCCAACATATGTATATAACAGATTGAGGGGAGTTATGGTAGACAACTGTCCCTTTACCTAGAGTGTCACATTCCAAGGCACCTTTTTAAGCTCAGTAGTCCAGGATTTTTGCATTTCAGAATCTATGCAACCCATTATATATTTGTAATTACTTTGAGGATCTGCCCTCCAAATAGATTTGGATGCATAATTTCCTACTTTCCCATTTTATATCACTGAATTATATTCACTTTGACTTGAAATTTCAATAATAAAATTTCAGTGACTGGCATTGGCTGGAGATCTGCCTCCTCCTTGCATTTGCACAATTTCCTACCACAAAGGAGTCTTGTCCTGATTCCTACAATGTAGTCTGACAAGGACTACAATTGAGGAGCCTGTGTTTTTCCACAAAACCCCGTCTTGACTCTTTCCTCTTGCAGAAAAAGAGCAGAGGCGACACAATCGCTCCAATGCAACAGAGGGTCAACAGAACTAGCTACACTTCTCTGGAAACAAAGTGAATGCAACCCTTTCAGGCAGCCAATTCCCCCCTCCCCCTCCAGCTGAGCTGAGCTCTTACCATGTGCCACCATGACTATTGATCACCGAGCCAAGAGTGCTGGTAGTTAGAGTCCAAAGCATTTGGAAGGCACGGGAGTAAGGGGAACTGATTTAAGGAAAGGGCTGCTTCTAAACAACCCAACGGGGAGAAACAGTCTCTCCCAGCATTGAATTCGGGCGTCTTTCCTAACCCAAAGATTCTCCCCCCCCCCCCCCAAGGTGGAGTTCCGGGATGCTTTTGAAGTCTCGAATTGGGGGAGGGGGTAGTCGGGCGACCTTTCACTGCCTCGTTTCGTCAACCCCACTTTCTCCCACACTCCTCCAGAACAGGAGCCCTACTTCTGCAGCAAGCACGCACAGAGACCCCACACATCCTGAGTCACCGGCCAAGTCATTCAGGAGACGCGAGCCGATTTACCGCTGCTATCCTTGAAGGAAGGGGTCGGGGTGTTCCGCAGGCTCTGGCTCCAGCCCCTCTCGCCTTCCTCTTCCTCCTCCTGCCGCTGCCGCTGCTCCGCGGGACTCAGGAAACTCGCCTCCAAGCCACGCTGCACTTGCTGCTGCTTTTCCTCCTGCTCTGCCGCTGCCGACGCCTTGGAGCCTTGGCGTCCACCAGTCCTGCCCCGATGGCTGCGTCCTCCCTCGGGGCTTTCGCCCTCCTCCGCCTCGTCGTCGTCCTCCTCGGAGGCAGAGCGGGACTCCGCGGTGGTGCTGTAAAATGGGTTGCCGCTGCTGTCCTGGCCCGATTCTCCGAAGACATCGTCGGAAATCTGCAGGCTTTCATAGCGGCAGCGGGCTGCCTCTAACAGGGACAGCGCCTTGAGCCGCTGCCCGCCGCCGCCGCCGCCGCCGCCCTCCGCCATCATCTCCACCGGCGGCGTCAGCAGCCGCCCTCGCTCGGACGGATCCTCCGGCCGCAGGCAGCAACCCAGCAGCAGGAGCGGCTCGGTCACCGAAGTAGGCAAGCAGGCTGGGGAAACATCGGTTCCGCCACCGCTTTCTCCTCCTCCACCGCCTCCGCCACCTCGGAGCCCAGCCTCCCGCTCTCCCCGGCACAACCCGCCCCTGTGTGTGTGCAGAGCCATGGGTGGAAGCAGCCAGCTTAACATCTCTTCCAGTACCTCCTCATCTAGCCAATGACAGCTGCAGTCCTAAAAACGAGAGGTGGGGTTTTATGAGCGCTCCCGATGTCCTGAGACCACCCCATTCCCCGCCTTTAAGTGGGAGGATCTCCGCCGTTTAAAATCACAGAGTTGGTTTTGAGAAAAAAGACGAGAGGCTGCGCGAAAGTCTATGGATCCAACGCGAGAAGTTTGCAAGTGGCTAATTAACTCCGAGTCATGCGCTAAAGCTGCTTGATGCCTTTCTCCACGCAGCCCGTTTCCCGGATCTCCGTGGGAATCTGTCCTGGGAAGAAAAAGATCGCTTCGCGTCTCTCGTGTCTCTTTTACCCTACTGGAAGGAGCTGTCCTCCGCTCGGGTGCTGAAAGACCACAACTCCTGGAGTCCCACCGCAAGACCCTTGAGATTACGAATTAAGGCGGTAACTGCAGTAACTATTATAAGGAGAGGTTGAGATCACCACTGGTTATTAAAGATTTGGCACATGTTCAGGTAGGAAGACGGCAAGCAGCAGGACTCAGCAGGAGGCATGCCTGGAGCCAGAACGGAATTAGAAAAATGGCATGCTCTTCTGCATAAACAGCAGCGTAAGACACGTGCCTGGCAATAATAACCATCCTGTCACCTCCACTTCCTCGGGGGAAAAAAGCATCTATAAGCAGATACGCTGCACTCAGCTATGATTTAGGCTCTTCGAGTTACTTTAGTAGTGGTGTAAATAGGAGTGTCACTAATTTACCATCGTGACAAAGAGAGCAGAGCATATTTTAAAGCAGCAGCAACAACAAAAAGATTGCAAAGTAGCAATATATTCAAGAATGGCAATGACCGTATCATATATTGGTCTGTACTTTGGAAACACAGTGCTAGTGGCCACAATGAAGGCAGCCCAGATCTTTGGAACAGATACAGCTATTTGCCTGCAATGAATCAGAGAGCTCCCATTGCAAATTGCTTTGAATTTTCCTACAAAAATTATTCTGCATTAAAGATTCCCTGAAAATGACATGCAACTCTCAGTTACTACATGGTAACTACACAATAAATGTATAAAATTAAAATATGGGATGTTAAAGAAGCATTTTATAGGGAATGACTATGTTCCTTCTGAAGTTGCTTCAGTAGTACAGATACTGAATAATTCTCAAATATTTTCAAACTTCTATTTTTATTTTTACTTAGAAATAACTGAAGGTCCAGACTACGGATCTGGTCTACAAATCAATGCAAAATCTGGATAGTTAATGTTGTGGCTCCTGGTGACATCAGAATGGAAGAGAAAGAATTGGAGAAAATTACAAAATACAAAGGGCTTGCACATAGGAAGACTGTGGCAAAAGAGAGCAACAATAGTACCAATAGTGATAGGCAATCCCCAAACATCTGGAGCACCACTTGAACACCATCGCCATTGACAAAGTCACCACCAGTCAATTGCAAAAGGCAGTTTTACTTGGAACAGCTTACATGCTATGACAATACATTTAACACCATTAAACAACAACATCTTACTATCCCAGGTCCTTGGGAAGGACTCGATAGGTGGACGAAAATGTCAAATCCAGTGTAAACATCTTACTGCCTGTGTAACCAACCATGTTAATAATTACAACAACATGTGTTGTCTCTAGCCATTATAGGCTGAAATAAGATCTGATCTTACTATATACAGTCATGAGTGGGGGAGGGGAATAGGAACAACCTAAACCAGGGGTATCAAACTCAAGGCCCATGGGCCGGATCTGGTCTGCAGGGTGCTTAGATCTGGCGCGTAGGGCTGCCTTGGCAATAGTGAAGGACTGGCCCAAGGTGCCTTTGCCAGTGAAAACGTAGCTTAGGAGGGCCATGGGCAGCCTTCCTGCACTCTGTTTTTATTGGCAGAAGGTTGCAGGAAGCCGTCGCAGCCGAAAATGGAACTCGGGAACCTGTTTTTGCTGGCAGAGCACCCCAACATGAGTGATGTTGAGCTGGCCACCCCCACCCTGGCCACCCCCCAAGTGATGTTGAGCTGGCCACACCCACCCCAGCCCCCCCAAGCTCAAACACAACCCTGATGCGGCCCTCAATAAAACTGAATCTGACACCCCTAAGTTAAAACATATTGGTACTAGATATGGAGGTATATCTCCATTCATTTAAAGGGGCATGCAGACTTTTATATCAGACTTGACTGATATATTTACTTATATTAGTTAGTCTGTACTTTATATTCATAGACAAAATCTTTTCCAAGTATGTTATGAAACAAACCTAAGAGATAGGTTCATCTATTGCAGCTCCACATTTATATACTGTTTAGGAACAATTCAGACCTTTTATGGATCTCTCAAACTCAATCTTATTTATTTTATGTATGTCTTACTTTTAATATTAGAAGTTTAATTATTTTATTGTATATTTGATTAGAATGTTTAATAGTGCTCTGTTATAAAATTAAAGATGCTCTTCAGTATTTTTAATGTGTTAATTCTTCAGTATTTTTAAAGCAAATCAAAGACTATTTGAATATTCTTTTGGTCAGACCAGGACAAACATTTGTACGTTAATTTGTTTGAAACAAACCTAATTTGTTTTGGATTATGAGTTCATTTGTTAAGGTTGCACAAGTCTGTGTGTACTGGCATATACTGACATATATATAAATTGGTTATCGCTTTCCAACTGTGCATTTCTCTTGCTTTGTAAGAAATATATACATGTATATACCTCCCACATGCAATTTATTGTTGAGCCGTATTGCAGAACATACAATTGAAATTTAATTAACTTAAACTTTAAGTCATTAAAAAAAATGGATAAGCAAAATAGTTAATTTAAAGTTTAAATAACTTGAAAATTAGATAAGTTCCTTAGTGCAATTGAGTTAAATCGAGATCTCTCTCAGACAAATAGATGATTGCACCCTCATTATTATCCCTAATAATTATGCCTATATTTTAATTACAACTGTGATGCAATGGGAAGACTCAGACCTTCAGCAACACTAACAGCAATGTAGGTGGTAGCAGGAATTCCTGATATAGGCCATACTTGGAATACTGCATTCAGTTTTGGTTGCCATAATGTAAAAAAAATGTTAAAATTCTAGAAAGAATGCAGAGAAGAGCAACAAAAATGATTAGGGGACTGAAGGCTAAAACATATATAAAGAACGACTGCTGGAATTTGGTATGACTAGTTTAATTAAAAGAAGAATTAGGGGTGACATGAGACAGTGTTCCAATATCTCAGGGGCTTCCACAAAGAAGAGGAGTCAAGCTATTCTCCAAAGCACCTGAGGGCAGAGCAAGAAGCAATGGGTAGAAACTAATCAAGGAGAGATGCAACCTAGAACTAGGGAGACATTTCCTGACAGAGCAATCAGTGGAACAACATGCCTCCAGAAATTGTGAATGATCCAACACTGGAAGCTCTTAAGAAGAAATTGGACAAACATTTGATTGAAATGGTATAGGGTCGTTATGGCGAACCTATGAGCCACAGGCAAACTTATCTCACTGTGCATGCGCGCACCTCACAGCTCATTATCAGCTGTATTGAGGCCTTTTTTGGCCTCTCAGAGGCTTGAAAAAAGCCTCTGCAGGCCGAACAGGCCCATTTTGTCACTTCCTGTAATACCAGAAGTGATGAAACGGGCCTATTTGGCCTGCAGAGGCTTTTTTCAAGCCTCTGGGAGACCAAAAAGCCCCCAAAACAGCCAAAAATCAGCTGTGAGGTGCAGTACAGGTAAGGGGGTGGGTGGGAGGCGGGGGGATTGCGCACGCATGCGCAGGGGGCATGGGGGGACGTGCATTGCGTTCTGGGTGCTGGCATGTGAGCGCCAGCGCGCACACAATTTTTGGCACAGAAGCCCAAAAAGGTTAGCCACCACTAGTATAGGGTTTCCTGCCTAAGCTGGGGGCTGGACTAGAAGACCTCCAAGGTCCCTTCCAACTTTGTTATTCTATTGTATTCTATTCATTTTCTGAAAAGGTCAAAAGAGCCTGAATGATACTAGGGATAAACCACAACCACAATTAGTAAAACATTGATTGCTCCCTTGGGATGTGGATCAACAAGAAAAAAACCCATGCACTCAGGGCATATGATGCAAGCAGATTACGGACAAGAAAAACAACCATGCCAAGCAACTCTTGGGGAAATTAAAGAAGAGGAAGAAGATAAGAGGGATGAATAAAGATTATTGGAATATCCATGGAAGACTTACAGATTATCACAAAAAACAGGGAGGAGAGTTGTAAAATATTTGTGCATATGACCAACTCTGATCTCAATTTAGTGATATCAAATTATAATTTTTACACAAAATTAAAACAGTAAATTCATAATTATATCTTTGACAATCCAAACTTAGCCTCTAATTTCCCCAGAATATAAAACATTTGCCTCCCCTTTATTTTTTCTCTTCTTTGAACAGAATTTCAGACTGATTTTTTTGGAACTAAAGATATGTTAAACTATAACTTTCCATTTCTGCAAACAAACATATCTTAAATTAAAACAAAACAAGAAAACTTCCTATATTGAAAATTCCTATTTATATATGCTTAATTATTAATTTCAGTATTGATTTTATGTATGTTTTATAATATTTTTCTTGAAAATCTTTGAATTTGAGTGTGCATTAATCATCATTGTACATAAAGAAGGAAATATTGAGTGGCGTACCAGAAATTTCCATTCTAGGCCTAGTTCAGTTCAACATATTGATAAATCATTTGAACAAGGGGTTAATATACTATTATCAAATCTGCAAATGACACAAAGAAAGAGGAGGAAAGAGTGAACATCTTCGAAGATTCAGGAGGAACTTGCTAGGCTAAACCAATGGACAAAATAGTAAGATGCATTTAAAAAAGAACAAATACAAAATCGTGGAAAGGATCAAGATGTCTTGGTGGGTCAAGTTGTACATGAACCAACCAGTGGTGGGATTCAAGTTTTTTAACTACCGGTTCTGTGGGTGTGGCTTGGTGGGAGTGGCAGGGGAAGGATACTGT